AAGGACATGAAAAGAATCATGAGGGAGAGCCGGCCACCTAAAGCTGTAAAAAGAATACTCCCTGTTTATTTCTACCAGAGAAAATTAAGAAATGTTCTGTCGGAATATCTTACCATTCAAAACATTATCACAGTGACTTCTGTGTTAATATAATGCATTATTCATCCACTGCAGCTTTAAGAGAGAGGTCCTTTTGTTCGTAATTGAAAATTCAAGGTAAACATCCCAACAGAAATTCAGAAGCAAAATTGTACCAATGCCACCAGTGCCAGCAGACTACTCAGTGCTTGGCTCACTATATTCTCCAAATATAAATAACATCTTTGGCCTGAACACAGGATTTTACCTAATGAATGAAGCTCATTCCATCTAAAATGTTTGCCTTGTCCATACTAAGCAGATGTTCTGACTTTGCTTACCAGTGCACACAAGGAACCCGAGAGATATACTGAACTACACTGTGTACTTGCCACAACAAACAACATGTTTGTTGTGTTATAATTAGGGCACCATTATAACTGGGCACATTAGAATAGCTGTGAGAGATGGAGACAGAGGCAGATGACAGGACAGACAATTATCATGAAGAGCTATTGAGAGCATTATAATGCAAAAGCAGCTGTGGTGTGAGGGGATAGCGTCACATTAATTATGATAAAGAGACGATAAAGAGAAGAAGGGACGATAAAGTGGCGGAATTAATTATCTGAGTCAGCTTGCTTAATCACCAAAGCAAGCCTTTCTTTTTGTGGTCTTATCTTTGCATGAAGCATAAATCCTTGCCTACACACACACACACACACACACACACACACACACACACACACACACACTAAGGACTAGGCAAGCCATTATCATCCTTCCATCATCCCACAGTGTCTGTGTTGAGGCCAGCCACACCACTTCAATTAGAAAAGTCACTGTAAATTAACTTGAAGGTCCAAGTGCTAAATATTTCATAACAGTGTCTGCCACCACACACACATCCTCTCAAAGGAAAGGACAGGGGAAAACAACCCTACACACAGTGAACTTCAGCCTGCCTTTCTCTTAACTCCCTTGTCATCCTGCTGTCTGTGTGCACTTTGCTCTCTGGAAGGCTTTTTAAGAGCTACTGGAGGGTTTGCGTGCCAGACTTTCCAAACAAACCCAGGGGACTATGCACACCTCCTTATTAATAATCTACGTACCCTGCTGTTGTGGCACACTACCCTGTCAGAGACTTCAGGATGCTCTCTGGATGCTGGAGATGAAAAATGTACTGTACAGATGGTTTACTTTGACCTACAACATGACTTTTTAAATTTGTAATGAGTCTTATTCATTCATTTGTCTGTTATCTTGAGTTCTGGATTGGGTTGCACCAGCTGTAAGTCCATTACAAATTTTTTGTGTAAGATTCTTCATATGTTCGCACTAACTACTAATTAGTTTCAAACCAGTAGTTTACTAAATTGGATTGTACCATAAAGAAATGTCTTAGCTAGGGCTGGACAATAAAACAATAACAATAATTATTGCAATTTAATTTTTTCAATAACAATATAACAAATGTTCAATAAATATTCAATAAATGTTTGATTTAATTCACTTAAATCATACACAAATTAGGACTTAATTTTTGTATTAAGATGTTTATTTTGTAGAGGAAAAAGGACTGAAAAAAGCTTTTACTTAATTTTACTAATGCATTTTTGTTGACAAAGATTTTATCACAATTGTTTTGAATGTTCTACCTCAGATTTGTGAAGTGATCCACTGTTTGGCATCAAGTGTTGACAAAAAAACAGCCTTTAAACTCAAAAGAAATAACAATTTGATACTTATTGTGATAATTATCGATATCGAAAGATATGAAACTTTTTTCATCAACATTTTTGGCCATATCGTCCAGCCCTAGTCATAGCTAGTAAAGGCTAATGTGTAAATCAGTTGCTACAAAATATCTGTACCACCATCTAATCAAAATTTGTATGTATGTAAGTATTATATTGAAGAGATAGTTGATTGTAATCCAATAACCTTTTTGTTATATTTCCTCACAGTTTGCTAGCCCTCTGTTTTCCAGCCTAGCCGTGGCTCTGTAAATGGAAAACAAAGAAGAAAGAGGTGTGGACCATAATTCACCCTTCACTAAGCCATGCCCAAATATGCAAACGGGCCAATCATAGCGCAGTATAGGTCTAGCTTTCTAGACAAGATATTGTCAAACACTGTTCCTGGGGCATTTGTAATCACTACCCAGAGAGGTTGAAAGGAGAAGTTAATTTATTCCCTTTCCAAAACCTAAAACAAATCCAGGAAAATGTAGGCTGTGAATTGTTCCTAATGTGATGAGAGTTAGCTAACGCTAGCTAACCTACCACTGAAAGTAACGTTATATAGGCCTACTGGTTTTGCTTTCTAATGATTTTAATAGTGAAAAGAGATCTACCCAGCTTTACAGCAGCTTAACAGTGTTAATCCTTAATATCGTTGTCCTCTGTCTTAATTGTCAGTTGATGCAGTGATTCATTTCTGAAGGCTTTGGCTTCTGCCTGAATGCAACCCTTTTATTCTCATTCTCTGATAGCCTTTCGTGGTAGGGACACTCAGCTATTTAACCTCTGTGGGATCGTTTGCTAGGATCATCGATACCGCTGGTTCGTTAGTGCTCCTGGCTGTGGTAACGACAGTCATGGTCGTTAGAACCACCATTGGCCAAGCTTGAACGACCATCGCTGGTATCTTCACCTGAGGGCAAGAGGAAATGCTTGTTCAGTTTCCTGGGAAGTGATGAAAGGACAGCATTGTAAGTGGGGGATAAGTGGTGGCGTAGACCCCCTCCTCTGTTCAGCGACGGCTTCTCATGCCAGGTGTAAATGGCTTCCTTGACACCTCTTTCAAACCATCCATCCTCTCTGTCTAAATTGTGCACCTGGTGGTCCTCAAACGAGTGTCCTTTATCCTTCAGATGTAAGTAAACTGCTGAGTCTTGACCTGAGGAGTTAGCCCTTCTGTGTTGAGCCATGCGTTTGTGTCGTGGTTGTTTCCCCAATATATTGATCTGTGCATTCCTTATTCCATCAACGACCATGACAACTGTCGTTACCACAGCCAGGAGCTCTAACGAACCAGCGTTCTCAACGATCCTAGCAAACGATCCCACAGAGTTTAGTTGAGTTTCCCTACCAGTCAGTCAGAACTGAAGAAGTCTCTTGGATGAGGGACGAAACTTCTTCTAGTATCTTCAACCAAGTCCAGAGGTCCTTGACCTCAGCCTTCGTTGGATAACTATGACCTGGAAGACTGAGAATCTTCACAGACTACCATATTTCATATTTATTCTTCAATATAAACGGGTCGTATGTCACACTAACGAGCTTTGACAGTTGGTTCTTCTTTGGGGCAATCACATTGAATGAGATGGATGAATTAACTAATATATTTACGACTTACAAGCCGTCGCGTGGAGCTGTGCGGTGGAGCATAGGTTAACACTGTTAACACAGTTCTACTCGTACATATTTACCTATCTCACTACACTGTAGTACACTACTGTGGGGCGCTGGCGAGCGTGAACTCAGTCAGTCCCTCATTCATTAATTCACTTAATAATTCACACTCCCACACATGCACTCTCCTGCTCTTCTTCTTCTCCCTCCTAGGTATCTGAAATCTGCCACTGGCTAAAGAAAAAGCAGTGCTACATTCATGTCTCATAATCTTTCTGTGTGCGCATTGTGTGTGCGAGGAGACACACTATGAGGATTGATAGCCATTAGAAGCACCGACTCCCCAGCCATCCCTTCTCTTCCAAGCCTGGTGTCCTTGCCAGCAGGAAAAGTGGTGCACTGTTGCAGTGAGATAGCATCTGATAGTTGGCTGTTGTTACCCCTCAGACTGCGCGCACAGCCAGATTTCAGCTTCCTCTCTATCTCTCAGCATGAAACCCACTAAAGTTGACAACAGTCTGACCTAATAAAGCATAAAGCATTATGATTTGCCCTCCGCAAGCTAATTTCTGGAACTAAACATGGTGGAGTAAGTCTTTGTCCGTTTCTGATTCCCTCTCTTTCTTTCTCTCTCCCTCTCTCTCCCTATCTCTTTACTCATCTGTTATATGGAGTCTTGTTGGGAAATGAGCCAAAGCCGTTCATCCAGCCACCAGGACTCCAGGAAAAGTGGCGACTATATTTATAGCTGCTGCCTGGTTGTGCTAAATAAGGTGGAACAGTCAGCAAACGAATATTCAGTTCAGTGGGATTAGGCACTTAAATCATTGATGGTGGCCTGCACTTAGCATTTACTTCATAGTGTCACTCTCTTAGAAAACTTAGTCATTTTCCGTGTCACATGTTTATCATTCTTCTTCAAAGCTGCTACCAAGACGTGGACTTGGCATAAATTAGATGAACCTCCCAAAGATTTACACGAGATCACAGATCAGATGACCTAACAGGACTCTAGATTAAACATGGCTTAGGATGGCTTTGACATGGTGACCAGTAATCTTCTGAGAGAGCACAGGAGAACAGATGGCGCATGATACACTCAGTTTAACAATGTTTTTTGCATAGCACAGCTGGATAGATTGCTCTGATATGATGAGGGCATTAACTGCCAACATAAAGTACAGATTATCATATACATGTCCTTCATCTTAAGTCGTACAAACATTATCACGCTATAGAGCTTGTTTACTTGCTGTAACATCACTGAAACAGCTTTAGGGTGTCTATACTGTAACCTGGGGTGAATTTATAGTGCTTAGCTTTACATCATGAATGTTTATCTTTAATGGCATCGAATTTCCTGTAGGATCCCTACAGGGATTTCAGATCTGTGATATTCAGAACTGACTATATGGCAACCTTATGATACTTTATGTCTTCAGTTGTTGGTGGTATTTTTATCTCCTGTGGCCTACTAACCTGTTATAGCATCCATAGGAGTTTTACAGTGACATACGGCATCGGATTCTTCTAAAATGTCTCCTACGGGAAGGCACTGCTAGTAAAAGATCGTTAGATCTCAGCCTCAGCCCTTCAAATGTGTTGACTGACTTGGTAGTGATCTCAATCGGCTCACAGATAGCGGCGCTCCTTTCAACGCCACAGCGCGGGCAGCTGAGGCTCTGTGTGTGGGAGGGACTAACGGAGAGCTCCCCTCAGTGCAGACTGCCACCACAGCATCGAGCAGGGAGAGAATACATACAAAGCATTATTCACTGATAAGGTTTTTTTTTATCTGTCCCCGTTATGTGCTCTCTCACCCGCTGCAGCCTGTAAAGAAGAAAACGACGGAAGGGATGCTGAAGTAGCGCGGTGAGTGTAGACTGTTTCTTTTTATTTGTGCAGTCTGAGGAGGTTTTTGTCAGGGATTAGAAAATGATAAAACCGGGTTGTGCATGACTGATCCACCCTTGTGCAGAGAAGCATCTCAAGTCTCCTGTCGAATTCAGATAAAATGTGCAGGAGTATTTACATATTCTGGAAGCACTGAATGTATTTTGTATTAAAACATGGCTGTAGTTTGAAATCATTTCATGATGATTTTCTCGGAAGTAAACAAACTATAGGTTATGTAGCCTATTTAGTTCAGCACAGTTTTGCTTATGTAGCTATACATTCTCTAGGCTGTGTTCTTCTAAAAGCAGAATTAGAATATAGTTCAATCTCGGTTTATTGTTTTCCTAATTGGATACAGAGGCATTTAGCTAATCGCAGCCACTATAAGCGCCTTTCAAGTAGTGTCCACGGATTTTTCTTTAACGATCCAATCAGCTTTAAAGTGGTGTTGATTTCTGTGTATTATAAGGCTAAGGCTATGTGCACCGTTCCAAATTACGCACACGTTTTTGCGCATCATGGATATATAGTTTTACGCTTTACAATGAGGGTAATATAATTATAATGCACCATTTAACTTGGAGCTGGTGTGTGCCCTCTGATTAGGGATGCTATGGGGTGAAAACATCGTGGGAGGAAGGCTCAGAGTGAACCAGCGGGTGGCGAAACACGAATGGCTTCTCCAGAGCTGCTTCCCGCAAATGAGGGAGGCAAACAGCCCGATCGTCCCGACGTCCTTGACCGGGTTTCGAGCGCGCTGTGTGTCCGCAAGTCGGGCGGATCAACAGGAGGAGCGCTCCCGGGGGAGGGCTGCTGTAACCCGGCACGCAGCTGCCATGACCGGTGTCATTCAGCGCCAAGGACGGCGCCGCGCAAAGGAGGCGCGGAGGTTAAACTCGGTCACCTCGGCGAGGAGAAAGTCCGGGTTTGCTGCGACGAGGAATTAGAGACATCTTTCACCTATATTGATGAGAATGTGAACCTGCGACTGGCCAGCCCGGAGACTAGTTGTAAAGGTTCTCACAGACCCGTGCGCAACGGTGAGCCTTGCTCCGAGACTTTCCCGGAGTTTTCCTTCATGTCCGAGGATGATCTCTCCTTCGGGGAGGGCTCCGGTACTTCTATAGACTACGGGTTTATCAGTGCAGTCACGTTCTTGGTGACCGGGATCTCCTTGGTGATCATTTCCTACGCCGTGCCAAGGGATGTGGTGGTGGACCGTGACAGCGTGTCGGCGAGGGAGATGGAGAGGCTGGAGATGGAGAGCGCCCGAATAGGTGCCCACCTGGATCGGTGTGTCATAGCGGGACTGTGCCTGCTCACGCTGGGCGGCGTGGTGCTCTCCACGCTGCTTATGATCTCCATGTGGAAGGGGGAGATGTACAGGAGAAAGGTCATCGCTTATTCCAAGCGTTCGGCCAAACAGTATGGCTCCATCAGCCTGAAAACTAGATCCAGCCCAAGCCATTCTTCTGTGCACTTGTCCCTGGAGGAGGAAATAGAAGAAACTTTGACTTAAAATTCTGCTTTGCATATAAACCTTTTGTGTAAAACAGAGGAATGAATGCCATGCACACATTCTTACAACATATTGTAGCCTAAACTGTATTCAAGTCTGCAACATTTTTGTCTTATACTGTAGAAATAGCCCCAATATTATATAATATATCCACATGGCATACAGAAAGGACAAGAAAAGCACTCAAATGCAAAGTGAACAATAGCCCGGAAAACCATTAAGTGGTATCAGATGGTTCCCAAATGATTTAAAATGGTACCAAACCATAAAGATGACTAGGGAGAATGTTAGGAGGCCTGCTATTCATATTTAATGCGAATGTTGTGCACAGACACATTTCAGGAGGGAAGTGTGTGTCCCCGGGGCAGGAGAGTGGGAGTGAGGAGGGGTGTAAAGCTGTCCCTGTCCACTGGGATGTGGGAAAATCAGCTCAGTGGTCCACATGGTAACATCCACTGACAGTCCGTCTCTGGTGCAGTGCTGAGGTAAGCCAGTAAGTTCCACGTCAGTTTGATTGTTGTGAGCAATTTGACTGCATTTGACAGTGCTGACATATAATGTGCACCCTCCCTTGCTCCCGCTTGATCCTCTCTGCTCCTCTTCTCCTCCTTCATTCCTCGCCTTCTTGCTCTCTCTGCCACTTGCTTTTCTCCTGAAGTTTCTCAGTGCTCTCCACAGCACTGTAAATTCACTTTGTAAGCGTGTGGAAAAGGGTCCTGGACGACCACAGCCAAGTGCCTGTGACATATCAAGGTTGATGAGTCTCTCCTTACCTGTCTCCTTTCATTTTCTCTTTCTCTCCATGTGAGGATGGACTTAAGAACACCTAATCACACATGAAAGAGTTGCCCAACTTCTAAAACCCTAAGCCTTCACTACTTCAAAGAGCTAATTACGTTTCCAAAGTGAGGTATCAGTCTTTTTAAAAAGGTTATATTAGATGTGATCATGGTGATATTGCAGGAGACACAAAAAGCTTAGCAAAAGAGGTTTATCATGTGCAGACTTGGTAAGAATATTAATGCCCCAGTGTCCAGGCAAGTCAGAGACCAACATCCTTTTCTTGAGGAACATTTTAGTTTCTGCTATGTGAAAGAAACCTTCTCTTTCTCCCTGACAGTCATTAATGCTTTCTGAACAGGGCCGCAGAAAAGAATGTCACGCAATTCTCTTGGAAAACAAAGTCACTTTTAATGTATGCTACCCTGTAAGGTTCATAGTGAACAGCTAGAATCATTCATTTGTGCAAATATTCATACATACAGCCACAAATATTGCTTTCCTGTGCTGGTGATTCTTATGCAGGGTCACTGTTACCTTGGTTTCTTGTCCTTTCATTTTCCCGGGATGTGTGACCTTATTTCAAGGCTTACATTCAAAATGACATGAGTCAGCCTCAATTAATGAGATGCGTAGGTTGATTACTCTTAACAGCTTCAGGCCACACTTTCACTGAGTTGCACTGCTTCTAGGTGTACTGTCACAGCATATCCATGTAAGTACGAGTCAGTGTGCAGACAGATGAATCAAAGAAAAGACTGGATCACTGGAGTCTGATGAGGTATTCAGCCAGCACTATCATTCAAAAGAATTGTTGCAGCAATGAACTAATGCAAGTTTGTGTTAATACAGGTTTTTTTTCTGTGTCTGCGACCACAAAACAGCCATTACTTCCTGAAATGGCAATAAAATGCCAAATGAAGGGGATTTCCAGGGAAGGTAATAAAAATTAATGATCCATATGAGGCAGTGTTGTCCTGTTCTGTTCACAGAAGCTGTAAATCCACAACCAGTATTACAGATGTTAAGGTGATATTTCATTTATCGAGCTTTCCTGGTGTTGTTGGCTATGGAAACAAGGTGCGACGCTCAAGTGCTGGACACTTGTTTCGTACCGCTTCATCTTTCTTTCCCTCTCACCAAGATATTCATGTACAATGAAACTTGTTCGACACTTAAAGGGCAGCCAACAGCAATGCTACTAATGTGAAAAATTATGCATAATAATACTAAGCAATTCATTTGAAGTCCAGCAATATAATGGCCACATTACCCATGCAGTACATCAGTGTTTTCCAATCATTGAGAATCATATTCAGAGGTGGCATCATCTGTTGGAATGTCACTCTTGTAGCACACAAAGGATCATAAATGCCTGAGGGAAGATATTAACATTGCAGACTTCAAACAGCTTCATCTGCAGCATGTAATGCACTGCATGTTTTCAGACCTATACTATTCCTCCCCCCCTCTCTCCTTTTCCATTTTTACCCCCCCCCCCTCCTTTCAGTCCTCCCCCACAGTTGGCACCGTGCCTCGCAGCCAACACCAGGCTTCCCCTCATACAGCCAACTAAACGTGTTTGGGGGATTTAATCAGGGCTTTGCTTGAAGCGACAGCATTTTACACGCCAAGCTCGAGTGTATTTCCAGAGGTTTCATGCATAAGCTCTTTATTCTTGAGCAGTGCACAGCGACATCACCCTTACTGATATTTGGTTGGCTCCTCTGTAAGTCGATCCCTTCAGGTAAGGTTGAGGGCTGCTGCCATCAGCTATTTTCCTAAAGGTGTTATTACACTCCTCCATCTTGTCAATGTTTATACTCCGTAGGTGTGCGCGAGTATGTGTGTATTTATATGACTTTGCATAGGTGTTGTGTTAGAATAAAGAGCTGCTGACCTTAAAATTTCATTTCAAAATGTTTCTATGGAGACATTTAGTGTCTAAATATGGTCTAAAAGGCTTAGCCACCCTGGGAGAAATAAACATCACTGGAGAATGCAGATGAGAGAAGAGGAAGCTACATAACACTGAGATACTATATATGGTGCAGGAGTAAAAGGAACATTGAGACATTTTGGGAAATGTGCTGCAACAGACTGGAAACAGCTAGCCTGGCTTTGTTAGAAGGTGACACAGATAGCCTATCAACACTTCTAAAGCTCACTATAGCAATTTTGGCATCTATGATTCCAGAAGTAAAAGCCCCATTCATTTTTCAAATAGACTCATAGTTTGAGCACTGATCAGCATGAATCTCTTCCAGTAAAATCATCAGTACAAAACATTAAGAGCAGTGTGTTAGGAAATATCTGGTTCTTTGATCAAAAAAAGTCAAAGCCTGTGTATATAAAAACTTTAAGGACAGATTCCAATGTTTTCGGGAAGAAACATCCAATAACTGAGCCTAAAATTCCACAATATGTGTAGCTAACAGCAGGTTAGCTACACATATTGTGAACAGGTGAACAGGTGAAAGTGTTAAGGAATATGATAATACAATCTGCAGCTTAAATCACTTTTAAATTCTTGGTCAGTCATGTAGCCGTGTTTTTATGTCAAGTATCAATTGAAGAAAATTGTGAAATGGGAACACAGAATCGGTAAAAGTGCTTCTTGAACCAGTGGCCCAACCCCACTTTGCAACTCTTTTAATCTTGTTTATGTATTGTTTGTTTAATTGGTACAAAAACCAAAGTGTAAAAATGACAAGATGTTTGTTTTAGGACGGATTATGTGCAGACTTCCTGTAGTCTCCGCTGGTGTGTGACAGTGACAATTAACAAGATTCCCAAAGAAATAGTTCAATACATATCATAAAACCACAACTTGTCAAGACATAACATCTCCCTCGTTTCCATTCTTTACTAAGCTAAGCTAAACAGTTGCTGGCTGTAGCTTCATATTTAGCGTACAGACGGGAGAGTGGCATCAGTCCTCTCATCTCTTAGCAAGAGAGTGAATAAGCATATCTCCCAAAAATGTCAAACTATACCTTTAATAGCGTGCAGTGTACAGGCAACTATGTGGAAGAACTAAGTGCACCCAAGCTTTAAGCTAAAAGGAGAAAGAACTGCATCTCATGTGTACATATTAGATATATTCATGTCTATGGTGCGCTTGCCTTCTATCTATCAGTGGACGGTGAGGCCAAAAAAAAATAATAATAATTCCACTTCGATTGATTAATTTCGAGTGGCAGACTAAAGCCATACTCCTCAGGGATATGACTTCATTCTTGGTTGCTCCCTTTCTCGGACAGGATATTTTTAGTCAATGTGCATATTGGATTTTTGCTCATTGTATTGTAAATGTAGTCCACAAAGCTCATTGCTAAGGATGCACTTAGCCGGGCTGTTTTACATTTAGCCCCCCAAAAAAACATCCTTGTTCAGCTCCGTTGGTTTCATTTTTACATGACATTAAAGCTCATGAAAAATAAGTTGGTTCTGCCTGTGTGTATTTTCTTCAACTCTAACTTCATTATTATATGCCCCTTCCTCGTCAGTACTGCCTTGTCCTTTCCTTTCTGTCTCGCGCCATACTATTTTGAAATCCTCAATGGTTCAGCAGTTTCCTATTCTGCGTAGTAAGATTGAACAAAACCCTATTCTTACAAGAAAGGACCACAACTAATGCTCTGTGTCAAATCGATTTACGTCTCTGGTCAGCCCGAGTTCTGCATGGTTGACACCAAAACAGTCCTCAGAATCACTTTGTCATTCGCTCACTGGTCAACCTCATTGATGCCGGCAATCAGGCCTGCCATAACCAGACACCGGAACGTCTGCGGAGCCATTTCCTGTGTTGTACTTGGCACCTTAAAATCACTTTCTCAGACGGAGAAACTATCGGCGCGTTGGCTGCTATGGTAGATGAGAGAGGAAATGAGGTGATCGGTTGGATCAATCTTCCAGTAAAACCACTCAACCGCTGCAGAAAGGCAATACAGGTTACATCTCTCTCTGTCTCTCTCAGCCTCTGTGATCATCCGCTGCAGTGAATTTTAAAATGCACTGTTTGACATGGCAGAGGCCGTGCCCTGCCAACAATGTGGTTTCATGGTGGCTGCTTTAACAACAACATTACCATATTTTCAATGAGCTGGATGCCTCCTCAGCTTAGCAGATTCGAGTAATGTAAACATATTGTACAAACAAATCACAAGCTTGGTTCACCTCTTGATCACCTCGCTGTTTAGCCCCTTGGTTGTAAATCACACAGCCGTGCTGGGCTCCTTTGATTTAATTAGTATCAAATTGCTAATGCACTTATTTGTCATGCATGGCCTTCCCGTGTGTGCTTATTTCCCCTATTATGCCTATGCATTTACCTCTAATTACAGTAAATAATGACTGCTTGCTAGTTCGCTGCAGTAAATACTGTAAGTGGGCTTGAATAAAAGGACTCAGTGAGCCAAGAAAACAGTAACTTTTTTTCCCCCACAACATCTGAACAACAGAACACAAAGGAAAGGCATGCTGAGCAATCTGACACATTTATACTTAAACACCAAGTGCATTGTGCGTGTCTTTGTTTTACATTTCTGCAGACATTTCTTCAAACACATCTGCCTCACTGGTTCAGTTAAACTTCAATGGAGTGGGAGACATGAGTAAACTATGACTCTGCAGCCATGCTCGCAGCTCTGGGAAGCTACACAGTGACGTAAAGTTGGGAAGTGTGCAGCTTTGCCGTCAGTGATTACCTCTGAAAAGTGATAGTGCTTCACTTCAAATTATTTCATGGCTCATGCAATTATCAGATGGCCAGTAGGATCAACTAACAAAAGCAAGGTCTGCCAAGGGTTACACAGGGTTCAACACACTCCGACCTTTTCTCTTTTCAGATCTCACTGAACAGAAGCTATAGTAATCGTCGTAGTAGAATAAAGAACTGTCCCACAACTTGGCAGCACACATCTGACTGGTAGATTACGTCTCTGTATTGTGCATCAAGTTCGGGCATGAAAAGCCCAAAACTCCTAGTGCTCTTGACTGGATGAGATTAATAATTCTCTGCTCCACTGCACACAAGGGATGCCATTCCACACCACTCCCCTGTCATGGCAGGAGCGTCATTGGTTGTAACTGTCCAATTTTCGCTTTCTCTGTACCGCCGCCATGTAAAGTGTCTATGACTGGCAAAGACTGCATTTTAACATAGTCAGACTGTTGGGCGAACATTGCCATCCATAAAGCCATCCCACTAGCATGGCTGAAAACAGCAAAAAGCTGACATTCTAAATTTGAATTAGCCATATTGGCCTGCCTGGTGCTGACCTTTACAAAATCAAGAATATCATAGTCATGAAAGAATAAGTAAAATGCCACTGCCATCGTAATTTAATTTAAATTTCGACCAGAGTTTTTTTTCTTTGCCATTCCGGATTGACATTTATCCAGCTTGTACTTAGACACAAACTGTAGCATGTTGGCTCAACCCACTGGGGTTTAACTAAATGATTGAGTTTAACCCCAATGGGGGTGATATTATTTCTACGTCCAAAAGATGTATTTTGAACTGCATATGTGCATATTAGCATGTGTCTATTTGCGGTTTCCAGCACCTCCTCAGCTCAAAGGGGAGGAATCAGGCAGGCAGCAGACAGAGGATCTCTGGGCCCAACAACTGTTGGGTCTGAGGCCGGGAGCAAAAGCAGGCACTGCAGAGCTGACTGTCTTCACTGCATTTAATTTGCCTCCAGTGTTGTGTTACAAGTGAACATTGGACTGCTGAGAGGTGATACTGGCCGGTGGAGAGACCCAGCAGGAAATGGAGAGTGAGGATGCTGACAGGGTGAACACACACACTTACACACACCGGAATACACATATACACTCTCTCACATGCACATAGAGACATGCACATACAGATGTGTGTATGCAATTTGACACATGTTGGTATGCTTGAGATTCATTTCATGGACCACTGTGGGTAAACTGGAAGAAGAAACAAACCTACAATACAAAAAATAGAATATTAGTGACAGAGGCAGTATTTAGATCTTTTACTTAATTACTACTGTAAAGCTTCTGACCAAGTCATCCAAAACGTCTCATGAAACACCATTCCTGATGTGTTTACACTGACTTTAAATTCAGTATCCAGTTCAAGATTGTTGTAATCATGTTCAGAGCCTTGCATGGCCAGGCACCTGCCTACATTAAAGAGTTACTGCAGTCATCTAATAGCAGTAGGAATCTGAGGTCCTCTGATCAGTGCTTATTGGTTGTTTCCAAGACAAAAGTAGACTTGTAGACACTGCTGACACTGTTAAAAAGCAGCTCAAGACCCATTTGTTTAGACTTGCTTTTGTAGAATTTGTTTATTTTTGTTGTGCATTTTGTTTTTAGTTGGTTGTCTGCTTTTAAAGTTGTTTTTTTGTGAACATCTGCTCTTGAGAGGTACTTTACAAATAAACGTTGTGTTGTTATTATAAAGCAACAATACCATAATGTAAAAATACACCATTAAGCCAGAAGTCCTGCATTTAAATTTTATTAACTTACAGTTAGTGACACTGTAGAAGTATTATCAGAAAAGAATTATATACTAACAGTAGGCTATTTTTAGCAGAATTATCTTTTTTGGAATGTTAAATTACTAAATTACTGGATATAATCAGAAATATCCTGTGGGGAAATTGATCCTGATGCATAAATGTAAATATGTTACTTTCCACAACTGTAAAATACAACGCAAACAACTGAGGTAAAAAGAAATAGGGTTGTACAATACAAACAGCAATTCAGTAATAATAATAATAATAATAATAATAATAATAATAATAGTAATAATAAGCTTCATTTACATGATACCCCACATGCACAAAATGTTGGTCAAAGTGCTTTGCAAAATAAAAAAGAAAAGACTGGGATAGGTTTATATTAAAATATTATGTTATTATTAATATTAAATTACATTTAAAAAGAACAGTGGTACTAAAATAATAAACTGTAAACAAAATCAAACAAAAAAAAAAATAAATTATAAAAAAAGAGTAACCAGTAACACTAGCAATTATCATTATTTGATAAAAGCAAGGCTAAAAGATAAAAACTGGTTTCAACATTCACTTATCCTTCATGGATGTTGCTGTCCTCAAATTCAGAGGAGGAGAGTTACACAGTTTGGGTCCAGAACTACAGAAAGCAGCTTCACTGTAAGTGTTTGTCTTGTGAGCATTCTGTGTGCATTATTATTGATTTCTTGACTTTAGTAGAAACCTTGTCCAGCCTGTAAGAATCAGAGGAAAAAGAGGATAGATGACTCTGTACCAGTGATAACAAATTATGGAGAAATGGTTAGGGCCTGATCCTGAAAACAAAATTATTTTACCAATAATCCTCATTGTAGATTATGAGAAGGAAGGCAACATTCATCTTCATGAAAGATAATTTATATATTTAATATATTTGTACCAGTATTTGCATGCCTCGGAGCCCTCAGAGCAATATCAGTTACATATACAGTGATGATAATCACTGTTCTTGGATTACAATCACCCATAAATAGTAGTTTGCTTTCATCAGCACAATTTTTTGCCATTTTAAAAGCTGAAGACAACCTGAAGATGGCAGCATTAGACCTTACAATGCAACCTGCAGCCTGAACCCAAAGCATCACACTTAATGCCCCGTCAGCATCAAGAGTCAGATGCTCTCGGAATAGCGTGTGTGAGATCCCTATATCACAACACTGAGCTCTGTAAAATCACTGTGTTTCTGTAAAAATGTACATGCTTAAAAAAAGACATGACGTTAAAGTTTCACGCAAGCCTCTCTCGTCAATGTAGTCACTCCCCTGCAATCTACTGGCATGCCCATGAGTACATTTATGAATGCAGACACACAACTTCCTCTGGAGGGTTCCTCTTTGAAACCTTCCATCCCCAGTATGTGCAACATCTGGCCCGGGCTGTGTATTGATCCATGGTCAGGACGAGGGGTGAGTGGGGGGTTTGGGGTGGTGTAGTGTGAGTTAAGTGCTCAGGTCTTTTTTTAAGGACCTCTTGTTTGTCCCAGTGAGCATTTACCGTCAAGTGGTGCTCTAACGTTCAACAAGAGCAAGCTTCTGTCCCAGAGGAGATCAACCACCACCAGGAGCTGAATAATTCATCTGGGCCTTTGTCTCATCAAAGCACCAGTAGTCTGGGCTGATGAGAGGTTTTAAAACATTTTTGTACCTCCAAAGATTTTCAACTTTCTCCTTGACTTACTCTTCTTCTAACCTTTCATGTTTCATGTTGTTACTTTACAGTCACTCCGACCCCTTTTCCTTCTCCAATTCCTGAGTTTCATCCTTCTTTTCCTTCCTCTACAATCCCTGTCTCTCATTTTTCAATTTCACAGTTCTTTCTTCCTTGGCACCGAAAGTGTTATGCAACTGATATACAGATGATGATGCCCTGGATTTGATGTCTTAACGCAATAATACCTCCACCCTCCCCTCCTCCCTCGATGCTCTGCCGTGAAGGGGGCTCTTTGCGGGAAACTCAAGCATACAATCGTATCTTCTCACATCTCAGGTTTCTCAGTGGCACAGCGTACAGACGCGAGGCAGTGCATTCTCATCATCCGAACCGTCAAATATGCTTTTCTTCTCCTCTTCCTCCTCCACCACTACCATCACCTCACCCGCCCCCTCTTTCTGAAACTCTCCTCTCATGTTTCCCTTTCCTATATTCACCTAACTTATTCTCCACCTTGCAATGATATAGAGGAAAACCAGGTGGGAAAAGTGAAATCATGCAATGCAGGTATTTACTCGAAGACATTCATATTGCCAATAAATTTATCAGACAGAGATGTGCTTGTTAGGGTCTCTGTTCTGCTAGTGTTTTTTGGAATTTTGCCTCGACAAAGCTGTCCTCCTCTGCTAATTGATACTGTCTCCCCACCTTCCCTTGACAATGCAAAACATGTGGGTATGCTCAGGAGCAGTCTTCTTTAGTAAAAAAATAATTTTCTTACTGATTTCATTCTGAATCCCTCAACATCAGCAGTTACTATTCCCTGATTCGCAGAATGACTTGACACATGAAATCACATATGCATTACTTGAAAAGGGTATTTGCGTTACATTACTAATTACGCAACAACAGAAGCAATTAGTTATCTTTCTTTCCATTACTCTGGTCTGCTCCATCACCAGTGCCTTCCAACAAGTCCTCCAAAGCCCCACATATTATCTTCTGTACAAGTAGGGATAGACATTGTGGTTTAACATGTTGCCAGCCATCGGATTAGATATATTTATTGACCACAAACAGCTAGCGTAGTCCCAACTGTTGCCTACTGGTCATGTCGTCAGGTTAACACACTTTCCTGGATGTTTCCTGAAGAGTAGCTAGCTTGCCAGCTAAAAAGACAACCATATTAATAAGGCTACTGAGTTAATGATGCCTAATAAGACAGTACACTAGCCTTCCAGGTAAGGGGTTTGGGCGTAGCACAAAAAAAGGACACACCATAACAAATTTTCTGTTACAAATAGTCCAAAGAGCTGCCAAACAAGGAGGGCGGTCAGTGGGGCTTGATGTCCCATGGGATGAAGAGGATTAAGTATCAGTAAGAAAGAAGTAAGTAAGAAATGCTAAACTCTGGGGTATTCCTGAAACTAACTAGTTCCTACAATGTGTCCTCAAACTACGTCTAAAAGAAAAGGTGTAGCTGCTCCAAATGGCCACCCTCAAAGACTCAATCAAAAGCATGTCTTCATAGAAAGGAAGACTTGATGAATCCTACAAATGAGGCAATTGTGCACACTTTTGAGCAATCTCTCCTTAAAGGCATTCATTGTTTTGCACTCATTTCCACACAAAAACAGAGACGTAAGTAGTTGTATGTGAAAGGAAAAAGTTTGTTCTGCCTCATGTCATTGTCATTGTCACTCCCTATGTTTGTCTCACTGATTGTCTTAGTTGTTTCACCTGTGTGGGATTAGTTTCTCCCTCACCTCGGCTGTTTGTCTTTCACTCCTCGCCGGTTCATTGTTCTCTATGGTGGGCTCCACAGTAGAGGTACTTGTGTTTCTTGTTTCCTGTTTCTGGGTTATTCCTCGTGTTTTCCCCAGAGTTTGGGAGTTATTTCTGTTGGACTGTTCACTTACCTCAGTTGAGGGTCACGGTGTTGTAGTAGTATGCTTCATCTCAGGTCTTTGTAAGTTCCCTTTTTTCTTATAAATCACATTAAATAGTACTACTGTCTTCTCGTGTCTGCATCCAGGCCTAAGACACCTGTTACATGCATTACCTGTTATCAGCCTGCCGGCTAAACTTAGTAGCTTGAGAGCAAAGTTAAAATTCTGCCTGCTTTCTCCCCTCCCCACAGCTGGCCAATCACTGCATGAAGTGGCAGTGCTTGTTTGATTGTGGGCTTTGAAAAGTTAATGAGAACTGTCGAAATCATGCCCTCCATTTCTGACACAGGAAAGGTGTAGGAGTTTGTGGTTTCCTATCCATCAAGCACTTTTGTTCAAACATACAGAAACCTTTACTCAGTAATATGTTGATTACTGCTACTAATACTGTTGAGTTAATGTAAACTTCAACCCTAAATTCTGCACAACAAGCCACTGTCCCTCCTCCTGCAGACAAAAAAAGTTTCTTTTATCACTGTGCACTTAAAGACAGGCTGTAGATGAGGTAATAAAGTCTTTGGAGTCAACAATGCACTGAGACCAATATGGATTAAAAGTCTAAATTCAGTGCCTCAACATAGTGCTGATACATTACGTCACCCCTTGTGCGCTGTTATTCATTTGTTGCAGTGTAATTGAAGCAGCCACAGATGATGTCACCTAAACACAGGACTTCCATTCAGAAGTTGTTTTGCTGCTCCCGTACACGACCGGGTGGACCAGCCGCATCGCCATAACTCTAATAAATGGACTGGATATGGTGAGCTGAGAGCATACTTGGCCCCTGCTGAGGAGATTGGCAGGTGTTTGATATTCACTGAAGTCTGCCCCACCCCCCTGCATCTCTGTCTCTCAGTCCCTTCAAAAGGCACATCTGAGTCTAAATTATAGACTACGAGACTTGGAACACGTTGGGAACAACGGATGAGTCATCTTGGACAGACAGTGACAGAGGTGACTACCTCTAACCTATCCACTCATGAGATTAATGACCTATCAGCCTATTTATTGACACAAACAAAGTGACTCCTCTTTACTTATGCCAAGGGTCTCTCTTTCGCTTTTCATCCCTGTGTAATGTCTCTCGCTCTGTCACTCTGCCCCCCTCACTCACTGTTGTGGTGGCCAAGGTTAGAGAGGCGCAATGAGAAAGGGCGGGGAGTCGGAAAAGAGGGAGAGTGGGGGTCTAAACAAATCTCTGTCCTGCCAGGACGTCCTCTTGCCAAGGTTTGTTGAGGGCTGGAAGGGATGAAGGAAGGCGGGGCTGCTGGGTGGGGAGGGTGGTGTGGAGGTAGGGGGTGATGGGGAATGACGTGATCCCCTTTATCCTAGCCAATAAAACAGAGTGGCCGGTGAGATCCGGATCCGTACGTGCCGTCAAATTCAATAAGGTAGTGCTTTAATGTTTTCTTTTAATCAACCAAATTGCATTACACACTGCCTGCTCCGCGGCGCAGAGGAAGGGGGGAAAAGAACAGTCAGTGCTGCGGGGATGAGTACGGTTGGTTTGGGGTTGTGCTGGAATCACCAAGGGGGGCATTCCCAATATCTACAACGATTTTATCGCATGTGTGTCAACGTTTTTCTACTGTACAGGCCCATAGAAAAATTGCTCCGCCTCCGGTTCCCCTTCAGTGAGAGGAAGCAGGGGCCGGTGTGAATTCAGGGTCAGACTGGGGACAGACAAGGTGTACAGACAGACTACGTCATTCTGGTAATGAATTCCAGCTCAACTTTTAGAGCATAAGCCGCTTTAAAGGCAGAGCGCACTCCTCCCTGCTGGACGATGGTGTCTCTTATCATGAGCAATGCCCTCTGCAGTGCCTTCCTCCAGCACTCCAGCAACTTCCTCCTCCTCATTCTCTTCTACTTTAACCCCCCCCAAACACACACACACACACGCCTTATATGACTCACTCTTTAGTGAAGGTACATCAGGACTGCTCTTCTAAACACTTCATCATCAAAACCCCTTTTTCTTCTCCAAGGCTGGAAGGAAGAACGCAGCACCCAGCGGGACAGAGAGGGATTGTATGTCTGCATCATGTACTGTAGTAATCACCAGTCGCCGGATCAGCTTGCTGCCCAGGTCCACTAGAGTTACTGGGATTTTAATTCTGACTGGGGTTTTACAGTTGGATGTTTCATTCCACCTTGAATCAGGCACTGCTGTTGTGGCCCGAAGGATTACAGCCTGCTGCCGCTGTCGGCCGTTCATCCGTGGACAGATGAAACTTCACAGAGAGCAGTAATCCACCGAAGAAGGGTAGCTTTGCTGCTCAGCTGCCTCAGCCACAACTTTAGAGCCAGCTGACATTTAACATAATGATCAGTCAGAGTGGCCGAGCGTTTACACACGGGAAAGGTTTCCCGGACACAATTAGACCACAGTCCTCGCATGGGCTAAAAATGAATCACAATACACAATACCATAGTGTAGTCCCTCTATCCATCTAATGGTAAACTGTGAGTGGAGTGACTGGAAGAAAAGCCTCAGTCTCAGCTGTGATATTACGGTGGTTTATCCACAAAGCTTGAAAAGATGACCACAGTTACAATCTACTGCACAGTGTATAGTCTAGGAAACAGGCTGCATTTTGGTTTTTGCAATCCATCCTGGTATGAGTCATTTACGGTATGCTATTAGACAGAGGGGTTACCCAAGTTTTCCAATGCTAGAACAACACAGCGATTTCAACAATGAAACCCTCACTACATCTTATAAATGTTAAAGAAACAATTAAACATTTTAATAATGTTATTTTATATTCAATGTCTGTCACTTTAACTACAACACAAATGAATGTATCCAGGCTCAATATGTCCCAAACAATTTTGGTTAAAAAAAAAATTGGTCAATTAACTGCCTTCTCACAATTCTGTCACACAGGCCTCCAAGTCATTTACTGGCCAGGATGCCTGCTTAGTGTAAGGGAAGCCAATAAGCAAGCTCTGACGATGCAGGGCTCCTGGTAAATAAATTAGCACGAAGGAGATGAATTTAAGGAAGCAGTTCATACTATGATGTACTGAGCATTAAGCTGCTTTCATGTCACATGGGATAGATTGTTAGGATTGCAATAATTCCCATTAACATTCATGTCATCAGAGAAGGTTGGGTGAGGGCTGAAAAAAATGATTAAATTAAATGTGTGTTTTAATTCCCTTGAATGATGCACTTTGGCTGATGTGAGGCATCTGTGTCTCTTTGGTTGTCAAGCACTACTGTATTATTAAGTGAGCCATTTTGGAACTTTCAGAGAATTTGAAGTTTCCTCGTCGTAATTAAGACATGGGCACTGTTCACAAGATGTAAACTGGTAATTACTGTAACCCTAACCCTATGACATGAATGTAGTATATGACTGAAACTTGTACTGCAGAGTTTTATGGACGCTTTTATTCTGTGAAAATTGACAATTTGAATTCTTTTAGTGAGTAAAATAGATATTGATTTAAATTTAATTAAAAATACATATGTAATCTACAAAAAGCTCTAACAGCAACTTTCACCATGACTTCATACAAACGCAGAGAGCAGCAGAGCAGCATGTTAGGATGTGACCAGACACTGAAAACAGCAGAATGCAAAATGAAACAACAACATGCTGCATGGTATATGTTGAACTTGCCCCCAAGGTCCCTGATGGGTGGATGACTTCAGCTGCAAAGTCACTTTGACTCAGTGAATCGGGAATCAGGTAACGGGATCAGGCTTCATTAGGTGACTTCAGCCGAGCTGGCAGACGGCCAGGTGAGCTGGACGCACAAATGGACATTGATTTTTCAATAAGGGCCCTGAAGCTGTCAGCCAACCAGGCTATGGTGATATCTTCTCTCGCGGGGATGGCCTTCACCCGATGATGGCCTGACTGGCACCCGACCACAGGCCACCACACTGGCATCCACTTCCTCTCCAGCTCCACACATCCCCCTGGCCCTACCCCATGTCCCCACACTGGTGTTAAAGGGTATTATCCTGAAGTGCAGCCAAAGCTATAAAGCTAAACATGGGCATGAGCACAGACATGAGTCTGGCTGGCATGTTGATGAAAATGTTAATATGATGTCTTCTCAGAAAAGTTGACAAGAGTGTGTGTGTTCCAGTATGTATAAGTGCATGTGCACTTGTCTTTCTATATCATACTGTTTTAATTGACTTCTATTACACTGAAAAGGCACTCGGTTTACAAATTGATCCAAGGTCTCAGAGGGGTGAAAGAGGTTACAATCACGTTTTCCTGTCAGGTCATCTGTATTTATGTAGACCAGTTCTCTGTTGGCCCCCTATGACCCAGGCCTAAAGGGGCAAAAACACCCATAATGGTTTCCATCCTTCAGGCCTCCCTCTGGCCTGCCGTCAGCCTCAGCAATACCTCCAAAACTGCAGCCATCATAGATTGCCCTTCTTCTGAACCCCGCAGCCAGCGGGGCACCATGCAGTGAAAGAGGTCGAGGAGAGCTAGCCCGGACATGACACCCCCTGAAATGCAAACGTTCGAAGTAAGTAGGACAGCAGGAATGAAAGGGAGAGAGGGAAGAAAATGAGAAAGTCCGCAATAAAGATATAGACAGGAATTTATTATGAAAATGCCATAACTCTTCTGTTGGGGGATTGCTCTTCAAGGTAGAGATAATACACAATGACATAAGATGGTTTCTTTACCCAGAAAGGCAAGAGTCATCATAACATCAAAGCCTGCCGGCCTGCTCACCCTAGCTCTTTGTACAAGTCATGACATGGTTAGACTGATTGGTAGTTCCAGTCCCACGCTGGTATCCTTAAATTCACCTTGCTGAAGTGTCTCTGAGTTACACATTAAATCCTAAACGAAATACTGAACTGTGTGACCTGAGGGGGAAAGAATCAGATTGGAAACGTCTGCAACAAATCACTTAATTGTTTCATTTTCCTCAAAAGCAGTCTGTATGTACGAATGACTATCTCAAGTGACAATGTTGTCTCTGTTAAATGCATTATAATATTCAGTCAGAAAGGGGCGTTAGTCTAGTTTGTTGGACTTGTTTTCTGGAAATTATCTATTTGTTTAACAAAGAATAAGGAGTTCTAATTAATTGTCCAGCAGTTTATACTCTGAAATGTTAAACAGGTATATTGTACAATTGTATTGTAAATCTTTCCCTCTGACAGGCATGTCCAGGTGAGCAGCACTTCATTTAGGAAATGAGCGTCCCTGTATCAACAAACGGCTGCTAAAAAAACCTCCAGTTTGAATTGGATATTAGGGCTGTAAAAGAATCACCTGCAGGCTTTTGGAACAACTTTACCCTCACGCATCAATCAAGTCACAGTTTAGTGCTCGCACTGGCCAGATTTTAATTTTTCTTTGAGCTTTATTGGAATTTGATTTGCCAAGATAAATTTAAAGCCATTAATCTTGTTCTCCCCATGTGTCCCGTCCAATAAACTCACTGAAATTGGCGTAAATGTCTCTTTGCTCCGAACCTCAGTGAAGTGAATGAGTGTGTAGGTATTTGATGACACAATTTTGTGCTTTATTCAAATATTTGCTGTCAGAATCAAACACTGATTGAAACTGCTGCAGACGTTTGAAATGCAGACGAAAACCACAACAGTAATTCCTTTCACAGTTCTCAGTGTTAAGCTCATAGCAACGGTGCTGAAGCAGCTTTCTGCACGTATTCCATAGAAATTACTGACTTAATGGCTATTCTATGAATAATTCTTTCAGGAAAACTTATAATAATCAGTAACATTCCATTTACGATTCAAAACGCCTTGTACACCAAGTTCATCAAGTGACAGTGAAGTTATTTGCAAATGTAAAAGAACAAATAAATCATACTTCTGTGGTGGTTGACTTCCTGTCTATGGGAACAGGCTCCACTCAGTCATCTTTCCTCAATTGTTTCCCTTTACATCTTGGATGTGTACACCCCTTCCACATCTGTCAACGTCAATTACCCATGGCTTTCCCCTGCATCTACATAACCGCCACCACCCCCGTGGCTGCAACAAACACATGCACCCACACTTTAATATTTGCTCTCAATTCTCCGCCATTGTCCCATCGTGGCCCCTGCCCAGCTGAGAGTGTCTGCCACACAAGTCGCAAGTGCAGCAAATTCGAGCCCGCTGGCTCACACCACCACTTTTTGCCCCACCTCTGCCTTATTATCCGCACATTTCTCAAACAAATTTTCCCAAACTGTCTAGATTCTTGCAGCAATTAAAGAATTTCTCTCATTCCCTCCTCCTTTCTTCTCAGTCCTTTTGGCAAGAGGCATGACCATGTTGGTCAGGTTGTCTCAGTGTTCCTGGGCCAAAACTGACACAACCAATTGAAAGAGGCAACCATGATCTGACAAATAAAAGGAACAGAGGATTACAGCAAGGAGGATGTCTGGGGTTCGAGGAGCAGTGAGAATCACACAGGGCGTGCCATTGTTTCTCAACCACCGATCGTTTTTGGCAGCTGTCGGGTCTTTTCTTTCCTAAACCCAAAGAGCCGTCCTGCTCTGGCAAACCCTCAGAAAAGAGACATAGAGAGGTTGCTGTGAAAATAAGAAGCATTTGTGTGGCTTGAGGGCTGTTGGCGTATTGCATTGAACTGGAATATAAACCCTCTTCTGGGGTGAAAGGGTGATGGTGAGGGAATGAGTGCTCTGACGTGTACTGGGGATGCTCTCTGTGAAAATTTACTTGATAAAGAGAATGTGTAACATCATATGAAGATCATAAGTTGGTTGGTTGGGGTTTCGGCCTGTTTTATTTCGAAGTGCAGCAATGTTAGGATCTCTGAGTGTCCAGAGGAGCACTTGTTTCCATTGGCCGCATATTCAAAAAAATGGCCAGACAGGATTCAGAAAATGATACCAAATGACAGCACATTTTCCACTGCGCCTCTACTTTGTTTCTTTGTGTTTCTGTGTGTGTTGTGCTTAAGTGGTCAATGGAATTGTGCTCCTTTCTGACATGCACCTCGCTACGTAAATGTGACAGCAATTCAACATGACAGATTGTGGTTTTACAGGAGATAATCAAAGGGTTATGTGTTGGACTATTTCTTGGTCATACGCAGTGATTTCCTGAACCTTGCGATTTTGTTGTGAAGTTGCTGCTCTAGACCAAGAAACAGTCCATACCACGTGTAAAACCACAACTTATCGTTTATACCCATTTTTTTTTTTCATTTCATTAACAAGATATAAATGGGCATTAACGGTGCTTGTAGGTGGATTGTGTTACATCTGAACAGAGACCAGACTAGCTGCTTCCCCCTGTTCCCAGCCTTTGTGCTAAGCTAAACTAACTGCCTGCTGGCAGTACAAGAACATGTATAAGCTTATTCTCTAAAATGTCAAACCATTCCTTTAAAAAATTTACAAAACTCCCTCTTAATTTTTTTGCAATGGCAACAAAATGGCTGCTCTTTCTGTAAATGTCCTGTCATGTCTGAAAGAATTAATGTGTTGTATCTATTTCAACTTAACAAAGTACATGCATGCATCACTTTCTGCGCAGCAGAGGATTAGTCTTAAAGCATACTCACACTAAGCCTGGTTGCCTTGTACCGTGCCAAAGCACTCCCCCGCTGGCCTGCGCTCATATTGCGCCTAACTATCCAAGGCGGAGCATGTTTACTTCATCAATCCAGTGTTTCCCACACATTGATTATTTGTGGCGGCCTGCCACAGTATCAGCGCCGACTGCCACATATTGATTTTTTATTTTTTTCACTAGGCCTATTTAAAATCGTATTTGATTGCAGAGCACATATTCG